GGAGAATTCTACTTAGTAAGGGTTATAATCCCTAAGCGCGGCCGAAGGCCGCCTACTCAGAAAGAAGTTCGTTTTCATGTATGCACTATTTCGGTTTTTGTCATATGCATTATTTCGGTTTTGAACCGAAACTGTGCATGAATGCATTACTTCGTTTTTCTCATATGCGTTATTTCAGTTTTCAAACGAAACTGTGCATATATGCATTATTTCGGTTTTTTCATATGCATTATTGCGGTTTTCAACCGAAACTGTGCATATATGCATTATTTCGGTTTTTTCATATGCATTATTTCGGTTTTCAACCGAAACTGTGCATATATGCATTATTTCGGTTTTTTTCGTATGCATTATTTCGGTTTTTTTCATATGCATTATTTCGTATGCACAGTTTCCATATGCACAATTTCAGGGTGCCCTTATGATTACATGTTTATACCTTGGTAACCGCTGGACCAATTTCTCCCAAACTAGGTACAGTTATTGGCCTAAGTACACCATACCAAATGGCTAAAAATTTGTAAAATTGGACAATAACCACGCCCACTTCCCATATAACGGTAATTTCGAGAAATACGAAATCTTCAATAAATCAGTAAATACTAAAGATTATTTATTCAAAATTGATGCTTGCAATAATTCTTTATCAGGAAATACAATTTTGATACATTTTTTTGGAAAAAGGGCGTGGCGCCGCCCACTTATTACCACCGACCACTACTAATTTGTACCAAACTCGGTACGGTTATTGTGCTAGTCACATAAAAACAAAGGGTTGAAAATTATTGAGATCGGACTAAAATTATGGCCACTTTTCATATAACAGTAAATTTCAGAAATGCTTGAAACTTCGATATTTCGAAATTTAAGAATGCTAATTTACTCAAAATTGATACTAACAACAATCCCCTGTAAAGAAATAACATTATTATGGAGTTTTGGAAAATGGGCGTGATACCGCCCACATATGACTAGTTAAGTTTATCTCATTATGTCAAACTGAACGATCTATCGAAGATGTTTAAAATAGGGGTAAAACAACCCCTAGCTTACCATATAGTGGTAGTTTTCGGAAAGGTGAATACTTGCGCCGGGTATTTAATGTTCGGCTCCGCCCGAACTTAGACTTTACTTTTTTTTTTTGTTTTCGTTATTACTACTGTTGCTGTAACTGTAGCTTTTGCTGATGGTGATGATGATGGTGCAGATTACATTTGTAAGCGCATTTAAATATTCAAGAATCTCACTGCCGCAAAAAAGGCATTTGCTACAATAACGAATTCACATCCGTTTTTACATACGCGCATATACATATATATGTATGTAAGCAAGCATGTGTATAAATGCATGAAGTGCCCACTTGTGTGGTTTCATAATTTCACTTTCACTTCAAGTGTCAGCTCTGGCTTGCCAAAGACATTGGGGACTTGGGGGGATGTCGTTATGGTTGACTGGTTGCCAACATATGGACAAATGTCTGAAACATGCTAAGAAGTACTCGAGAAGTCAAATTACATTTGCGTTTTTTTTTATTTTATTCCACCAAGAGTGGTTGACCTTCAGAGTTGGGAGTCAATGCCAAGATTTTGTAATATTTTTCAAAATTTATTTTTCTCCCCGAAAAATAAACTTTATAGAGCAATTGCTGTGGAACCGCTGGGTCGAGGAATGGGTAGTGCTGTACGATGACTCGACAATGGCTTGGTTTACGGTAAGTGCAAAGATAATAAACAAAAATATTATTTATACATAAGTAAATTTAGGTGGGTATTTTTTCCCCTTCCTTCCGAGCAGATTCGGATTAGACGTACAATTCCAAGAATCAATTTTGAACGAAGCTATCTTTAATAAATATTAAGTTTTCTTACAATTTAATGCAGAATCCTAATCTCCTCGGAAGGATGTCGAAATAAATCTTTCCACTTAGAAGGTGTTTTCTTATACGAACATGTCGAATAGTCGAACTTTTATATCAACTATAATTCAGGCAGATTAAGTAAGTAGTAGAAATGAAGCTGAAAAGGGTAGATAGGATGCATTTTGAACCGTCACAGAAAAGATGGCAAACTAAGGCTGTTCTGATGCATCGCTTAAGAGGTCTCTAATCATTATAGTTTTGATTTTGAAAAAGGTTAGGGTAGGAAAGGTTGAGTGGCAGTCCGCTGTGGGACTCACTTAGACTCAGGGTGCTTTGTGATACCGGATGCGGTTTTCAGTTGTTCCCGTTCCCCTTCAAACCACTTGGTGCTTGGCAAGAAAGTCCAGAAACTCTAATCATCCAATAGCTGTTGCTCTCCACTTTCCCAGAGCTAGGCAATGGCAGACATGGTTACGGATGCTTTTTCCCCTCTTCCTTGTCCGTGCAGCTTCTTCAGTGGTCGTTCCACCGTGCGTCCAGTTTAGCTGAGTGGAATTCAATCAGACTTAAGTTACTATGTGGATTTCTTGCCTCCATAGGTTAAGTAGAGGCTTAGTTCATTGGGCGTTTATGGCTGGCCAGAGTGTTCTAGCAATATAACAGGTTGATTCTACTCGTCATCTTTCATTGTTTCCATGATCAGGAATTGTATCACACTAAATATACTAGTGATGCGCCCGTTGAAATAGCCATCTGTTCCACTTGAAAAAATACTGCAGTAGTAAGGAAGGCGGAAGCTGAAAGATATACCTGATGCCTCCGAAAAATCCCTTCGACCACTATTTTTTCTCGAGTTTTGACGTAACCGTGCAAACACGAATTGATCCTCTTTCTCTGACTGTACCCAATGCCTATTCTTCGTTTGAACTTGGTGCTGGTAGTGCGGGAGAGTGTGATGTTGTCGGTTGTAGGAAATTCAGTAGTCGTTCAATATTTTGCAGTGCTTAATAAGTAGATGACTCCATTTCTTGGCCGCGTTAAACCCTATGGTAGTGTTCCATGACTACTCTCTTGCACACAGTTCCATCGGAGGAGAGGTTAGTAACGTATTGAGTGCTTTCGTAGCTGTTGCCTTCGTGTCTTTCGTTATCAAAAGTATACAGCAGTTTTGGATTTGTGGATTATTTCAGAAGTCCATGCAAGATACCACGAGATTTCATGTATGTCTGTACATCAAGATATATGTGCTATTGATAGCCCAACGCGCTGATCTTCTCATACTTCAGTCAGCTGACGTGAGTATGTTAGCATTCCAGTGTATCCCCTCTTATCTTCTTATTATCTGGTATGCCAGAAAAAACGGCTTCAAACTCAATAAATTTGTTGAATATAATTGTTATAAGGCCATAAATAACAAAACAAAAAAATTTCTTATTTTAGCAACAAAAAAACCTTAAATAAATGCCTGCCTTTTTAGATAGTTGTGCTATTTATTCAAGTTCGAAACATATCAATAAAATAGGAACGCTTTTAAATTAAATGTTATGCATCTTTAATAAAAGTCATGAAATACCAAATTAGGAAAATAACTGGCAAAATATGAAGTGGGTCAAATGACCCCAGCCCGTCTTTCTAATTTAAATGTCCTTTGCGTGTAAGGGAACGAAGGAGTGGGCTATGCAGTATATGCATTTCACCGAACCGGAAACTTATAATTTCTAGAGCCAAACATGCTGCTAAATATTTACATAGATAACCTAATATAATAATAGATTGGCGTTTACACATATTTTAGTGTTTGGCCGAGCTTCTCCTCTGATTTGTGGCGTGCGCCTTGATGTTGTCACACAAAGCAGAGGGCCCTACAGTTTTACGCCGACTCCGAACGGCGATTATATTTTTATGAGAAGCTGTTTTTCATGGCAGAAATACACTCGGAGGTTTGCCATTGTCTGCCGAGGGACGACCGCTGTTAAGAAAAAACCTTTTTTCTATATTTTTTGCGATGTTGCTTTGATCAGGGTTTGAACCCAGGCGTTGCGGAGTGGAAGCGCGCACTGCTTACCACTATACCACAGCGGCCGACATAGATAACCTACTTTCATATAAAACTAATTCGATTACCGAAGCGGACTGTGAGGAGGCTATAAGAAGGCAAAAGAGACTAAAATCGTCCAGCCCTATTGGGTCCCAGGATACAAGGGTGTGGAAGGTAATGAGAGAGCTGCCGGCGACGAGAGCGTCCTCTTAGGTGACAGATAAAAGGATTAAAGGAATTGGTTCTTTTCAGGAAATCAAAGATTACAAAATCTGTTCATGTACTGCCAGGCGGATAGCTTTTGGAAAAGAACTCAGGATTGCAGATTTGCAAAGATTTTGTGTAGTTTATACGATAAGAAACTTACTATCAACAAGTAGAAAAGACCTGAGTCGTGTGATAGGACTGCTAACAAGGCCAACAGCATATGCTTTTAAATTAGGTCTTATAGAGGAAAAAAAGTGTAACTGTCACGAGGAAACTGTTGAAGATATAATTTGCGAGTGACCAGCCTTCAGCGGGCAAAGACTTGCGTTACTCGGTAAGGTGCAGCTGCAGTGTTTACAGTCACCAATCGACAAATGACAAAAGTCTTATTATTGTTCTTTAATGGCGTAATAACCGTCTAAGGGATGCTGACGTTTACTACATTTCGTTAAAGGAATGACAGGGTCCTAACGGTGATTTCAAAAGGCGAAAATTGTTTGATTTTTTAAGAATATGGTACAAAATCCATATTAAACAAAGAAAGAAATACGACATTATAAAATTTGTGGTAAATGCGCATGGCATCCCCAAACAGCTAGGTCATAAAGCCATTGACACAGGGCAATTGTTAAATAAATAATTTATCTACTATTAAGATTAAGGGCCAAATTCACAGTGCGTAGTTATCTCAGAATCGGCAGATAACTACAGATTTTCAGTAAGCTCTGTGAATTTGGCCCTAATTTGTTATATTTAATTATTTTCTTAATATCTGTTAAAACATTATATAATAATTCAAAATAAGCAAACCATAGATATTCACATACATATGTACATACATACATACCTGAACACACAGGAACCTGGGAGATCATCGCCAGCTGGTAAAATCCTAGTCAAAGAAGCGCCCGAGATGTTGGCCATTGCACATTGGACTGGGCAAATACCACGACGCCCACCACTGCCCGAAGGTTGCAGTGTATCACAGTTGATTGCATTGGGTTCGAGGAGAAAACGTTCCAAAGTCTATTGGATGTTGGCCAAATCTGAACAGGAAGTCAGGTAAATAGTTGTCTTATAAAGTTTTTAAGTACGAAATGTGCACTCATAAATTTGCTTTTGGTCTTTTTCTTATTTTCCTGGCAGTGAATGGGTTGACGCCATAACTAAGACGGTAAGTTAATTTACATAGTAGTAGCCAAATAAGAATAGTACATACATACATATATATATCTTTGCGAATAAGGAATACCGGCTAAAGTCGGAAGGCTGACCCAAACTACTCAATAGGAATTCTTCGGTGAGACTTACTTAATAGCAATATTGAAGAAGGCTTTGCTGGAATCAAATTACTACTCTTTCATATGAATTTTCTAATAGAACTTAAATGGCTGATGCATACATTCACAAGCATATGACTTTAGCTGTTATTCTTGATTGGCACAGATGTGTATGTACATTAGGGTCCCCAATGAAAAACAAAAATTATGAAATTTCAATTTGGAAATACTATTTTCTATTTTTTAGCGCGAAATATCTTTTTAAGTCAGAAAATATATTATTTCCCATAAAAAGGACCGCCTAAGGGACATGAAATTTCTTTTTTTTTTTCGCTGGCCACCCTAATATACATCCAAGCATATATACATATTTGTTAATTGTATTCTCCATTATATTAATGTATTTTCTGTTTTTTGACATTTATGAAGCTGCCTCCGCCACCCCAAATAGAGCTCGTAGTTGACAAGCCGCATCTTATGAATGTCTTACGCCGGCCATTAGTGCGCATACGACGTACGTTTTATAGTAACTGATTTATTCATTTGCTAATACGGTGTTCACATGAGGCAATTTTAGAGGCGATTAGTTGAATCAAAAGTTGGCTGCACCCTAACTTCATTGGAAGCGATTAGTTGAAAGGCCGATTGTTACTTTCAATTAAAATTTGCCTGCAAAATCGCTCCATGCGAACACAATAGTACATAAAATGCATCCGTGCATACATACATACATACATGCATAGGTATTGTTAAACAAGTAATGGACCTAATTGTTTAACTTTCATTGTAGCGGCCACAACGTCCGAGGTTAAACAACGCAAAACTTCGGCACATAGAAGTAGCAGCGCCCATCCAGCTTTGGCCCACCATCGCACTTTCTACGTTCAAAATCCGCTGGTGAAGAGTGATGCCGCTGTAGCCATTTTGAGCAAAAGGCCGGACTCGAAGCCAGCATTGGCATGCGCACTGCCTTGGGGACACGGTTGGGGCTGGGCCACTTTGCCGAATGGAGTGTGGAGCGGCGGTAAGTGGAACACACAAACATACATACGTTGTAATCTATTCAGAGAGGAAAGGAAACCTTTGGAGAAAAAGTTTAGGTGAGATGCCCTCAAACTTCGCCAAGATCAGTTTTTGCTGTTCAATAAATGACTATACTACATACATAAGTGACTACCAGGTCAAGGTGCAGAGATAGTATTTTCAGGAATAGTAGCCCAAAGTTCTAGGTTTAATTTAAGCCTAATTTACCGCCTTTTGTTTCGTTTAAGATATTTTTTTTAGCTCATTTAGTTTAAAATCTGGATTACGGATTCGCAATCAGCACAAAAAAGTCTATCAAAAATAGCTTTAACAGTGTTGCCACAATTCTCGATGATAAGATTTCTTCCAGCGCTTACTGAGTAAAATTGTTTCCGATACGCCCAATGGCAGACAACCCTAGCCATCAAACTAGGGAGCGCATGTAAATAAACACTGTCATGCACAGATGTTTCAATAACATCTCTCTGTAAGCTATATTTATTAGAAGATATTCCAACAGAACCTCCAGTCGAAGGCAGATGAGAGACAATATTTAGTAAAATAAATGAAGTCGTCTCGGTAATAGAAGCTGAACCGTTTGGTCTGACATTAACCAGTCCACATCAAAAAAAAAAAAAAGAAGTGATGAATCGAACACGGTAGGCCTAACACTTCAAAATATTAGAACTTTTTTTTAATTTTGCCAAACTGTGATATACTTATGTATAAATAGTCCTATCAGGGATGGAATAACTTGCCACCATGTCAGTCATGTCATCTGCAACAAAAAATTTTGAACCCATATGAAATCAATAGCGATGGTATTCTTAATCAGTTGTAGCAAGTGCTAGGCACATTAGGACCAGGGTTGCCGAAATCTTTTGAAGCAAAACCATTTAAATAAAAAAAATCGTAATTTCACGAAAAAATCCCCATAAATTTTGTAGCGGAATTTTTAAACAGATGTCTCAGATTTGACGGTGGCTTGATGGTTAGTAGGAGTTTCGTCGCGAGTCGCGACGATAGTACACTTTCGTTCTCATTTCTAAATATTTATATCTGTCAAATATAATGGTTATATACCAAAATGGTAGGTTTGCCGAAAACTCTAAAGAAAGCAAGACTACGACTAAAAGTTCAGTTAGTCTAGACTTGATTTAACTTACGTAAGAAATCATCAACACGTCAACTTAGCCAGACGCGAAAATATTTTGTTTTTGTATCTTCCTTTTCATCTCATTGTCACTTTGGCGCTTATAAACCACATCAAAAAAACAAGCATGAACAAAAATATATTGCGTATTGTCTAGACTTCTGAGCCTTGAGTACGAAATTTTTTTGTCGTTATTGTCGACCGCAAGATATTTTCCGAAACATTCTTTTGTGACTTGCGTCTGAAATTTAATGATAAATACACATTTGTCAGATGAAGAGATGAAAACTGTATTCGGCAATTTATCTCAACATTTATTCATCAATATTAGAATTAATATTATTTGGGGCTGTCGGAATTGGATTTAAAAACGACAAAAAAAATTTCATTGGTGTCATTAAATCCAATGTTATCGGTTTTATGTTCAAAACGAAATTAGTGTCGATTTTAGGTATCACAGAAACCAATAATATCGATTTTGCTATCGGAAGCAAACCAAGCAGCTAACTGTTGTTGGATCTCTTTTGCTTATTAGTTTTTATTCGTTGCAGTAAAAAAGAAAAAATATTAATGTACATATTCATATTTTTATTCATAACTAGGAGAAATCATAAAAATACAACGTAAAACAGTATACTTCCAATAACCGAAATGCTACGACTGCAGATGTCTTTTTGCTTTCACTAATTTTTGTTTAAATTATTGAAAACATTTCAATTTTGTGATCGGTCTTACATCGGTCTTTACATTCGAAAAGAGCAAAGCCAAAACGATACCAAATGAAACCAATATTGTTTCGTAACTCCGATTAAAAGCAAATCTGACTTGGATTCCATGACAGCCCTGAATTACTAAATACGTGTTGTTTCTTGAACCGGTATGCGAATATCCCGATCCATTGAAGTGGTGGCACGTTTTATATTTCGTACGTATGGCTATCGAATGACGTCGTTCTTCATACGTTGTAATAGAAAGAAAACACTTTCCTAGGTAGTAGATATCAGAATCCTTCACTACAAACTTAGATCTTGTTATATATATGTATAAATATTTATGCTCAATTACTCTTTCGACAGGTCTGACTTGGTCGCAGTGTGAGGATACTTTTACCTTACATGCACTGCCCACCACGCACTGCACCAATCTCGTGGACACGTCATGTAGTGGGGCCGTCTACCACACTGATATCGGTGGCTTTGATTTCCATTCGACTGGCGTTGAAGACTTAGGCGGCGAGGACTTTGATTATGCCATGGATTGCGGAGACTTCATATTTTAAACGCTGCTAACAGAATCGAGCCCATTATTAGCTATAGATATATGTATGTACGTAGCAGGTTCAGGCGAAGCATCACCAAACAAACGAAAGAAAAATTAAATACTGGAAGAATTATAACCACCCCACCCTAGAAAGCGAGTGCTTTAAACACTCAAACGCTTATAAGTTAAATAAATTTAGATTTTCGTAAGGCTCAAGAAACGTAAGTACATACATGAATAAAATGGACTCACCTTCCACTTTGAAGTATTTTCACACTTTCGCTGCACCCGAGTCATAAGATCGAGCCAAGCTGCAAATGAAAAACAATAAAAAAAGAAAAAACAAGAACAAAAACGAAACACAAAAAACATATAGAATTATTGAATTAAATGTTAACTAAATTACGGGTAAATACGAGAACGAATTTCAGTTGAGTTCTCAACTGCGTGACAATTTCGATTTTTTGCATTTTATAGACGTGTTCGTTAAAGCGAAACGACCTGCGGCGAGTATAATGCGGCGAACTGTATAACTTACTAGCCCAAATACAAATATGAGTATTCCAATGGATTTCAAATGATGCCAAATTTTTGTAAGACGCCACAAAAAATGTGTAGCAGGGACAAAAGAGACGATGCGTGCCACGTTTAGGCGCCGATTGCACCTAAGGGCCGTGAAGTTGGGAATTAGTTTTAAATACATACTTACATAAATGTGTATATTTGTAGGGATGTTTACACACAACGTCGTCATAGTTGTAGTTGAAATTTAACCAATCATAGCGCATACTAAAGATTACAAAAAAAAAAAATAAAAAATGAAAATTCGTGAAAGTTACAACACTGAAAACCCAAAAGTTGTAGCGAATTAGGTAAAGGATAGCAACTTGTGCAGACAGAAAGTGTTTATTTTCATGTGAATATGTATGTATGTGAGAAACATATATGTATGTATGTAGAAGAAGCAAAGAATTTAGAAACAATAGTAAACTTTTCAGAAAAATATAAAAAATCCCAAAAAAAAAATTATGTGGTATTTGTAGGTTACCAAGCAAAGAACAACAAAAAAAACAAAAATACACATTGATCTGCCAAATAATTTTGAAAGATGTAAAAAGTAGGTATGTATTGTATTGAAATATAAACATGAAAAAAAACATAAGCATAAACATAAACAAGGAATCGTTGTACACAAGGAAACGCCACCAAGCAACAATGCGAAACACACGCAAAATTTAATTGACAATGCAAAGTTTTTTGAAATGCCGAATTGATTATAGATTTTTTAAATGATTTTTCGATTTTTTACTGTTTTTACGTATCGAGAGATAAAATTATTACTGAAAAAAAATAAATAAAAAACAAAACCAAAAACCAATTGAAAAAAGTAAGATTAGTGTAATTTTAGTATCAAAATAGGCAAACCAAGAGCAACATGCTGGCAATGTTCTCCGTTAAATATTAAAATCAATTGTCAAATTTACTTAGTACATAGGGTTAAAAAATATGACCAAAGAAGAAAAATTTGTATGTAGAAAAAAAAGAAACAATATGAAAAAATTATGGAAAATTTCATGCACATTCAAATCTAAAAAGTGCAAAGTACATACTTGCGAAAAATGTATGCATGTGGGGTAACGACTACCGAAAATTAAAAATAAATGTACGTGCAACAGCTAAAAAACCAAAACACAAAAACCAAAACATGTGTAAGAATATAAATACGGCACAACAACCATAAAAACAGAGTTTCCGAGCANAAAAAAAAAAAAAAAAAAAAAAAAAAAAAAAAAAAAAAAAAATATTAAACTTAAGTAGAAATCCACCAACCACGAACACCAACCAAAACATGGCAATACATGGCAGAGAACGACGAGAATATGCAAACAATGAAAAGGAGTAATGTTACGTAGTAGATACATATCTCTCGTCTGCTCAGAAACACAAGACTAAATGCAAAAACCCAACAAAAATAAAAATTATTGGTAATTGGTTGACGGCTGATGATCGCCTGCAACTAGTGTTCCTTCCTACACCAAAAATAACCTCAACAGCACCAACAATACAGACACAACAGATCTCTTCGTTACATGTACATATGTATATACATACATAATTGCAGCCTGGGCATTATTGACACGAAATCAGCGAAACGTAATAAGTATTACCGTGAATATCTATGTGCATTGGGGTGGTCCTTAAATGTAGGAAGCATATTTTTACATTAGATTTCCTAAGCCTCAACCCCTACGTCAATGCTACTATAGGCGAAGATATCACATATAAATTTTGGTCCCGATTGGAGACGGTTGAGGCGTGCCGCACAGGGAGCAAAGTTCAGATGCCTCAATGGAGACTCAAAAAATTTAAATTAATTTGTTTTCCGTCTAATACCCAAAATCGGTACTACCATAGTCGAAGATAGCAAATATAAAATTTGGTCCGGACTGACGTCTGTTAAGGTGTGTCGCACAGGGGTCAAAGTTCAGATTACCCTATACAGACGTCTTAACAGACTCCAATCGGAAAAAAAATTTATGTGATATCCTCGACTTTAGTATTATCAATTTTGGGCATTAAATGAAAAAAAAAATATTTTTAATTTTATGAGTCCTTAGAGCCATCTTGTCTTTGACCCCCTTGCGACACGCCTTAAACGACTCCAAACGGGACCAAATTTTATATGTGATATCTTCGACTATGGTAGTAACGGAAAAAAAATAATTTTAATTTTTTTAGTCTTTATAGAGGAATCTGTACTCTGCGCCCTGTGCGACACGCCTTCACCGTCTCCAATCGAGACCAAAATTTATATGTGTTGTCCGTGACAGTGACATTACCGATTGAGGGAGTAAGACCTAAAAAAAATCATTAATTTAATTTTTAAGGACCACTCTAATGTGCATACATACATACTTATGTACATTTAAATCAGAGAAAATTTCTGTTACAAATACGCTGCTTCATTCTCCGCCACTTTTGGGCATTTGTATTCACGAATATCAATGATTTTTAAAGCTTTAAATTCTAATTGGAAAGGCAGTAGTCACCGCAAATTTTTTAAAGCGATTAAAAATACAAAAACTTTTGGTGTATGTATTTAATACTTTGAAATTTTCAAAGGAAAAAATAATTCAAAAAAATAACGAAGCATCACGAAAAATTCCAAAGCTTTCAAAAATATACCGAAAACTTCTGTAGCCCGTTTCTGTAACTTTTCTCTACCGATTATTTCTCTAATGGTAGAGAAAATACGTCACTCTCACCTACTAATTAGCAGTAGAGAACAGGGCGGCGAATTCATATCTCAATTCGCCTTGGTAGAGAATTGTTACAGAAACGAGCTACTGGAAAACACACAAATCAAGGATCGATTAATTTTTTATCATTTATTGATTGCGTAGAAGTCCAGATTTTTTTAAATCATCTGGGTTTCAAGCTTTTTAAAATAACGGGTTCTAAAAGTACTGTCGAAAAGGTGATACAAATTTGTGTATCTTTTGGCCGATGTGAAAGTAAATCAGTTGACACACAATTTTAAAAGACATCAAAATGGATCCAACCTACATGTATAAGGAATTTCTTTATAGTCTTAAACGTCTATTATTACCCTCAACCCTGTATGACTCTGACTAAGTAAGCGAAAAGGTCGCTCAAAGCGCTCAAAGTTTTCCATGTATTTTATATGGAACATAAACCAACTTTTCGTGGAAATGGTAAGGAATTCTTGAAAATCAATATTTTTCGTTTGGAAAACTCTGGTTCTTTGCATTATTAATATCAAACCATTTTTCAATGCTAAACATTTTTTATTTATCTCCCCATTGCTTCTTCTGGCATTTTCTAGGGGTTTTCGTGGACATATAAAATATAGTTACAATAAAAAAATGGTTAAAAAATAATTACTGGGAGTCTCCTGAAGAGAAACAGGGTTTTTTCGGTCGAAAATTATTGATTTTCAAGAATTCTATACCAATTCTACGAAAAGTGGGTTTTCCCTATATAAAATACATGGAAAACTTTGAGCGCTTTAAGCGACCTCTAAATATTTTTCGATTTCAAAATAAAATAAGAGGGTTATATTTTTTGCGGTATATAAAAATCTTAGGGGGTGAGAGCATAAAAATTCCGACTTTACTTTTTTACATGTATTTTTGGACCACCCTACGTACAGGCTTCCTATTATCTCTATGTTGTGGGTCTGATAGCGAAACCTGGTGAGCAACGGACTAGACGTAACGCTCGTTCTATTCAGCCACTATAACGCTGAGCCAAAAGTACAATGGGTTTTTTCAACCAAGTTATTGTTTGATTTTTACACGGTCAATACACCGATTGAAATAAATGTGATTGAAATTGAACATTTCAACACATTTGTATGTCTGGCTATAGCTAAACGTGCAGAGATACTTCCTGATATTTGCTGACTCCCAGCAGGTGCGGGTTCGATAGCCGACAGAGCATCTAAAAAGCATCTGTGAAGTGAAGAACATGATCTATCGACGAGGAAATTTCTTCAATATTTACGGACGAAATATCAATGTTTTTGAAAACTTATACCTACACTAGAGGGAAAATACAAATGGTTGTTGTTCACTTCGCACATATTTGCAACTTATCATCTTCTACCTTATTTGCATATGTACGTATGTTTGTATACAGGTGACTTTAAACAGTTGTCATAAAACGGTGTTCGCATGAGGCGATTTTCTAGGCAATTTTAGAGGCGATCAGTTGAATCAAAAGTTCGCTGCACCCCAACTTCATTGGAAGCGATTAGTGGCGTTTGTTGCTTTCAACTAAAAGTTGCCTCATGTAAACACCGTATAACCTCACATAATCTAATTAAATTCTTTTGATGAATGTAAAGGATATACATACATACACATATACATATTTAGATAGCTAGGGGCCGTTGTATTACACTAATATTTTTTTTTGGTATTCTAATATTTACACCATTCGTACGAACTATTTATGAAAGCTTTATGTATGCGCACGAATTCATAGCACGGTCCGTTCCTGGGCCATCTATTAATCCCACAGAATGTATGAAATTATGTACATATGTAAGTACGTCTACATATGTATACATACATAATTACCTAAGTATGTAAGTACGTTTGTAGGTTACAAGACTTAAGCAATTGTCGCAGTGACATTAAATGATAATTGTATGTAGCATTAAATGTTGGCTTTACATGTATTGTACATTCCATTCATGCACACAAACAAACAGAGGTATGTGTGTGTTATAGAAAATTATATCTGATTATAAGAACATACTCGAACAATAACGAAAAACAATTTAGAAACAAAAAATGCTAATTTAAAAAAAAAAACAGCACAAACAGTGGTTTTATCGTGAAAATTTGAGCTTCAAAAAATGTTTGTCGGTTTTTGTTTTTTTAATGTAAAATGTGTCTTAGAAAATGCAAAGTTAAAATTGCCACTATTGAAAGGAACTGTGTATGTAGAACTTAGGAAAAATATTAAACAAAAAAGACTCGTATATAAATAGGTATACACACATACATACATATGTATGTATGTATGTATGTAAGTATATTGTACAGCAAATGCATCGGCGAAATGCGAGACGTTCATTTCACGAAAAATACATACGCCAAATATCGAACATATAGAAATGTCGATGCCAAAATTTGGCCAGTTTCAAGAAGCAATTATTGGAGACTTTGATTTACTAAACAAAAAAAAAACATACCGCTTAACTGTTATCGTGTTTATCGTACAGATAAGGCTAATATTTTTTATATAGAGCTACGTTTATGTTTCGTGCTTTCCAAATTTTGGCTTCGATGTTTATATATATGTATGTATGTATTTACTAAGTATAACATGTATGTATGTACACAATGTACGTTTGTACATAAGACACTTGCTAAATGCGCAAATGTAATTTCGAAAACTCAAATGACCTCCGACAATCATCATAGAATATCTCATTAAATTTTTATAATTTTTATTGTAAATACCCTAAGGAATATTTGTTCAACCGGAGTATAGTTCCTGCTGTGTTCACTTTTTGTAATCAAGAGCAAGGAAAGACCAATATTACCCTACATTATCTTCGTTTTACAAGCGCGATTAATTTTAACTCTAATATTTATCCTCACTTGGCTATTTTCTCTTTTCGTATGTGTGCGCATTAGGGTGTGACGCTAAAATTTGTTTTTTTTTTATTTATTCGTTGGTTTTGCTTAATTTTTCCGACAGCGTGGGAAGATGAATTATTTTTAAACGAATTACCGTCATCCCTTGCCATTTAAGTTGGAGACAAACCGGTGTCGGCGCTGTGCTCTCTTTAGTGCCAATTTTTATGACAGCAATTCACACCAAAATAAATATTTTTTGATCTCTTCATCTCACTCTCGCTTCATGAAGTCTTAGAACAGTGAAGATACCAACCACTCGAATTTAAGAAGTTTACTCTGACAGCCTTCTTCGGCATACGTATAAGGTCCTTCAAAAATTTTACATTTACGAGTTGGACGTCGAGGAGCCTATAAACTCATGGCTGATTTCAGCTAAAGTAAGAAGCTACACACTGAAGGAATAGGTCCCTAGAATTAAAAAAGTTTAATGGCCAAAGTCTACGAGCGAAGTATCTAGGAGTCATAGATATTAAAAACGAGTAGCGAAGCCTTCTTCTCTGTAAATGGCTTTTTGAGAAGACACGATGGGGTCTTAATGAAAAAGTTGTAATACGGATGCATACAGTGGTGGGCAGCCTTACGGAACCAGTATAAGCATGTAAAACTAGGACTGTAAAACTACAGGGGCAATGAGCAGTTGCTCTACGCACGCCCTTCACATAACGTACACTGCACCAGCATCGGCAGCTGCAGGAAACCATAGAGCACCTTCGATTTCACTGGTATAATAATGGCAGTTACATGCTGCTTGGATGTTAAAGGTTTTCCGCTATAATTCTAACCTAATGGACTTATGTTTGTATGTATGTGTTCGGTAAAACTAATTTTTGTCATTAAGTTAAATTATTTTTATTTAATTTTTTTTTGCACATCAAAGCATATTCATCAATGAAGTCTTCGGTAACATTTACACTCACACACGCAATTGTGTAAGACAACGTAGTTAGATGTATAGAATTTATGTATTGTTCAATTAGAGTAATGTAGTAAATATTAACAAAAAAAAAAAAAACGCTGATACAATGCAGTCCATGAAAACGTTAAAAACGAACGACATAATATTTAAGCATAAGAAGAAGCAACAACAAAAAATTAATACTAAATATAAATGTGTCCGAAAACTACATAAAAAATAAAATAAAATATGCTACATAGATGACACAAAATTTAGTGGCACGAAGACTTAATATT